TAAGCGTTGATTCTAGACGCTTATCATATAACATAATTGAGAGTACTCGTGTCATTTATGTTTTTGTTAGCGCCAGCTAGACTTTTCTTGGATAACTGAAATCGGCAGTTTGTAAAACGTTTAACAATTTTTTTAACAAGCACACTATCATGATTGAAACAATAAGCAATTTAACTTTTGAGGCATCTTGTTCACCTGCACTTACCTGTTGTTACAGATTTGCTAATGTACTGCACTCACTTTTCATGCTGATCACTAGAATTGCCTTAACCGAAGGGTGAGTTTGTTTTTGTCAATAAATGTATCCCGGGCCTTTGATATAATGTCTTGTACCAAAGAGTCCAATAAACAAATACGTGCAGCGTGTTAGGACTGTTTACAGATTTTCAATCAACCTCTAAAAACAATTATCTCGAAGCTAAAGGTAAACCGCGAGCTCTGACTGGCAAAAAGATGACTAGTGAGCGAATTGGCATTTGAATCCCAGTCTTCATCGTTTGACTGTTTATTTCAAAAAGTTAATGATGTTATTTTATTGGGACAAGATTGAAAAGCAAACACGTTTAACTTTATTATAAATTGCGCATAAATAAAGGCCTCTTTGTGTGTGCGCCAGGTCAACCTGGCTAGTAACCCAGCTGAGTCCCTTTTCGTACTTTTCATATGAGCACAATTTCGTATTTTCTTATTTTATTTATTTATTCATTTATTTCATAGGAAATGGGGGATTTCTCTGTACCTATGCTGGGCCGATTTCTTACACAGCCTACTGAACACATTATAAAAAATAAAAGTTAAAATATACGCTCCTTGCCGAGCGAGTCACTCTGTTTAACCGAGGACACACATGTAAGCACTTACAAATGTAATCGAATGCATTGTTACGGATAACACTTGCTTTACAGCGATGAAGGTACAGCGAGAAATAGGGCAAATTCAATTGAAATGTTTCAACAAACCTAGAGTGATGAAAAAGTCCACCAAAATGTATGTAAAACTTTGTGGAAAAAAGCATTGAAAACCGCGCTGAATAATAAATGAAGCAGAGGAAAGACAAACGGTTTTAAAATGTCTAGCAGCTTTATCCCAAGCTGCAGCAATTTGTTCTTATCATTCGTTCAAAATATTTCGTCGTTTCTGATTGGCTAAAATCCCACGCATAACCAGCTATTGTCGACTAAATTTGGAAGAATTTTGTGATACTGAACTGATGACGTCAATCGTGCAGCAAAATTGTCAGATAATTGAACCATTAACCGAGAAAACCTGGGGACGAGTTTGAGTTGTTTTGGTAGTGATTGCAAAATGGAGAAACATTTACTGCGAACTATTGTCTAAAAACATAGCAAGAATAGTAAAGAGGACGACTCGACCGACGATATCTGCTATCTGGAGTACATTTGCAGAACTGAACAGCCCTTTATCTTCTAAACTTCCCGATAAACTTGCACTATCGAGAGGAACTTAACATCGAAGGAGGTAAGCATTGATTAGCTTGTTTTTAAACTAGGAATTGTTTTGAATAAATATCAAAACAATAATTAAATTCGGCTTTCGTACCATCCGTTTTTTTTTTTTTTTTTCAAATAAAGCGTTTACACTCTTTAAAGTATAAATTTATCAGTAGCACTTGGAGTGTACAGATTTTCGATGAAATAGTATTTTCATCATGTTTGTGAAAGTGAAATGAACACTTCTGTTGGATTGGCATGGGAACATCCCAGTGACAAAGGAGCAAAAAGAGTTGATCCTTAAAATGCCTCTTTAGCATAAAAATAGATAATTTAAGATGGCTTGATATATGCTCATGCCAAACACTGTAAAATAATAGTAACAAAATTCTCAAAGTAAAATAACTTCAAATTGCGCTTTGGGGCAAGTTTTGTCATTAAAACAGACTAATTTTTCGTCGGTGCCCTTCTAATAGTCAAAGTATTATTGAGCACTCATCTATCTGCAAATTACTCTCCTCCAAACAAGGGTAAGAAATCAAAGGAAGACAATAATAACTAATAAACACCATAAAAACAGCAACAAAGCAGGTTTTTCGGTATTCTTTGAAAATGCTCCTAGGAGACGCAATGATATACTGATATGAAATTCTACTTTGACAAAAACAGAACTACCTGTATCAAAGAGCTTTAAGGTATGCTTAAGCGCTAAAACCAGAAAAACAGTTGTCTCACGTCACAAACTATATGTAATGAAACGGCTCGAACATTGCAATGGTTTCTCCCTTCCGATTGGCTGTTTATACCTCGAACAATTTTTTTCCTCACTTTTCAAATTTTTGCCCGCACAGTTAAATGCCCGACAAGATTATAATTATGATGTTATGATGATATATGCGCAAAGAAGTTAAGGATACAGGTCAACTTTTTTCGATTAATTAGTTTTCAAGTCGGGTTGCAAGATGATCCAAAATGTTTAACTAAGAGTAGTAAGAGTAAGTTTAATTTGGGCTTAAAAAACGGAAGGAACCTTTTTTCTGTAGGAGATGTTCGATCAAAATAATAATTTGCGTGGTATGGTTACAATTTCACGAAAATTACATTCTTTGTGTAACCATTTTCCTATGTATAAAGTGTCAACGGTAATGAATTAATTTGCAGAGAGCCCTCTATGATTAATGAAAAAATCGATAGTAGACTGACCAGCTATAAACAGTTCATCGCAATTTATTTATTTATTTCCCTTTTATTTATTCATTAATATTACTTATAAAAAGAAAAAAGAGTTCTAACGTGTACAAGACATTTTTAAAACAAACTTTTTTTTAACTTGTCTTTAAACTGATGTTTGCAAAATTCCAAGCCGAGCTGGATGGATAGCTTCCGTTTATTCGGGATTGAAGTCTGCCAGGGCAGGCTCATCATTCAGGCTGTCTTCGACAGGACTGCAGACCCGTCTGGCTTTTGCACAGTATTCTCTCTTTTTGATCACAAACTGTGAAAATGAAATGATAAATTTAAACAACAAGTTACGGAAAATATTGAACTGTTTTAGTAGGGATTTAGTGCTATAGAATGACTTAGGAATTAGCTAACAAAAGGTAAAGCAAGTAAATTGTCATTTTATTTTAATAGTTTTTGTTGTTATTATTATTTTTTGTATTTTTGTTGCCGCTGTTGTTGTTGCTGTTCGCATCTTTGGGCCTAATTGCTTTTTCTTACAAAGAAGTTAAAATTTCATCGGAAAAATCTCTCTTCCTTTTATTTTTTTACAAGAAGCGATTAAACTCTAGCAAAAGGTCAACTACTATTGTTTAAATTATGGAAAGCAAAGTTTGGTTTAGACAATGTGTTTCAAAAGGAACGGAAATTTCAACTTTTTTCGATACTCAGTTGACAGTAATCTTAATCTATCTTTTTATTGGGATTGCCTATTTTCATCTTTTACCAGTTGCTGATGGAAAATCTACCTGGAAACTCCTTTTCTTGCCTTGTCTGAGACGCAAATCTGAAGGGGGCTGCGCCCCGTGACATACAATGGCTACGGCTACCAACATCAGAAGCACAGCGCAGAGAAGCTTCTTGTTCATAATCTTTCTCCTGAATTGAAAACAAATACAAATTGTTTGCCTGGTTTGTTGATACTTTCCACTACCATGATTTCATTAACCCTAGGCTTTAAGAAGAAAATATTGAACATTTTGTGACCATCCCAAGGGAAATAATTCAGCACTTGAGTAATAGCCGATGAATTGACCAATACAATTAAGTGTGTGCTTAGTCGGATTAAAAAAAAAAAGTCAGCTTAACCAGAACAAAGATTATACTGCCCACAGTGAAATTAACATGATCGGTCTTCGAGAAACACTTACACCATCGAAGATGTTCGAAAACGTACCTTTTCGTCCAAAGTTTTTCTAGGGATAGAGGGAGTCAATAGTCTTTTTACAACAACGTTGTCGTGTGTCTTTACCATCAAAAAGTCCCTCAATTTATGAAGACTGGAATAGAACAAATAACCAGCTGCGACCTAATCAAAGTTTAACTGAAGCGTCAAGCGGCGCCCACGAAATACCAGTTGTTAATATCCGCGCTGTCTTTAGCAGGACAACTCTTTTGACACTATCAAGACGCTTTGTAAAGGCAATAATTGGGCCATTACTATCCAATCTATAATTCATTTCTAGAACGGAATTGACAATCTATCAAAAAAGGGAAGCAGAGAGAGAAACAGGCCAGAAAAAAATTCATTTTTGACCTTAAATAAAACGAAATCTTTTCGGTCGAAACCGTCATCACAAAAGTCGTCTTCTGCAATTGCGGGCCTCAAAATTGCCAACTGAGGGAGGCAATAGGCTGTCTAACACCCCAACTTGAGGTTTGAGGGCACTGTGAAATCTCTCAAAAGATTCAAATTAACCCTAATCTTTTTTGTGTTTTGAAGTAAAGGGTAAAGGATGTCTTTGCGCAAGATCAATTCAGAGGAGTTTTAAGCATCGTGAGAGCAACAGAAAAGCGAGACAGAAAAAGGAGAGATTTGACGTTTTTTTTTTTTTTCGCATTGCAGATCATATTTTTTATGTAAAAGTTTAATTTCTGTCTGACGTCACAAATTGTATGAAATGAAACAAAATGTTTAACTAAAAGAGGTAGGAGTAAGCTTTCCTAAAGGTTAATTTGTGCAGCTCAAAAAACGGAAGCTACCTTCTTTTCTGTAGGAAATGTTAGATAAAAATAATAGTTTAGCGTGGTAGGGTGACATTTTCACGAAAATCACATTCTGTGTTGTAACCATTTTCCTACACACAAAGTGTCAACCATAATGAATTATTATAATCAGTTTTAAGCATCGTGAGGCCGACAGGAAAGGGAGACAGAGAAAAGGACAGATTTGTAGCGTTTGTTTCGCATCTCGGATAACATTTTTTATGCAGAAATTTAAACCTCTAGCAAATTAAAGCTTTGAAGGGAAATGCAATTCTCTCGACGCAATGATTAGCATTGATTCTAGACGCTTATCATATAGAAAAATTGATAGTACTCATGTCATTTACGTTTTTGTTAAAGCGCCAGCTAGACTTTTCTTGGTTAACTGAATCGACAGTTTGTAAAACATTTAACCATTTTCTTAACAAGCACACTATCATGATTGAAAAAGCAATTAAACTTTTGAAGCATCTTGTTCACCTGCACTCACTTGTTGGCACAGATTTACTAATATACTGCACTCACTTTTCATGCTGGCCACTAGAACTACTTTAACCGACGGGTGAGTTTGTTTTTGTAAATAAATGTATCCCGGGTCTTTGATATAATGTCCTGTACCAAAGAGTCCAATAAACAAATACGTGCAGTGTGTTAGGACTGTTTACAGACTTTCAATCAATCTCTAAAAACAATTATCTCGAAGCTCAAGGTAAACCGCCAGCTCTAATTGACAAAACGATGACTAGTGAGCGAATTTGCATTTGAATCCTAGTCTCCAACGTTTGACTGTTTATTTCAAAACCTTAATGATGTTTTTTTATTGGGAAAAGATTGAAAAGCATACAAGTTAGGTCAAGTTAACTTCATTTAAGGCGTTCCAAACTAAATCGTCCTTTTCCAATTTTGTAAAATTCCGCTAAAAATGGTGATATTCTCTATTTTTCAGCTCGTTCTTTTTTTAAAATACAAGTTATTGCCTATTATTCTGACTTAATAAATTCACCTTAAATCAAACCCGCTCTCCTTGGTCAATTTCTGGCGGACTTGAAAAGGATTCCGCAGGATATATCACGGTTTCACTTTTTTCTCATGAAATAACAGTTTGACTTAAGTCCGATTTTCCGACTTATAATTCTTACTTTTTTCTAATTAAGACTACTGTTTCTTTTAGTCGATCTTATTTTTATTGTGGCCGACGATGGATATTTTTTGAGTCCGATTTTCGGACTCAAAAAATAAAGGTTCGAATTCCTCCCTGACTCGAACTAAATTTCCTTCCCCTTCATCACCCTGATAACTATAATTATCCGCTAAGCCGAACTGTTTATCGTTTCCCTTCAGAGTTCGAGTTACCGGGGTTCTAGAGTATTTTTATTGGGATAACCAGCGGGAGTCTGTGGGTCATCCATGTGTCATCGGATTCTATGTGAACTGAACTTCGTAGATCACAAATTCGTTGGAAAAGCCATTCACCAGATAAAAAATTGGATTTAGATTAATTGTCGATTTGTTTTGTTTCAGGAACGGAAATGCGTTTTAATATAAAAAAAATCTATTATTGGATTGGCCGAAAGGAGCACACCCACATAAAGTTCGGCTTATAGCGAAGTCAAGGGAGTCGAGGATTAGTAAGTTTTCCTTCAACTAAACAAAGCTTTATTGGAATTTAAACAATGGTATTAAACGCACTTGAAAGAATTCGTCAAACACGTGGCGTGGAGATAAACATCAACTTGGAACTGACAAAAAAACGAAAAAAAATGTTTTTGCTGTCTTCCTTGCTTGTTATGACGATGGTAGCTTTTTTTTATAGAGCCGTGGCGGGTGCGATGTTTTATAATAGTAAAGAGCACTCAGTGGCTTCCTCTTCTGCAGAGAGACTCCCGGAGGACAGAGGCTCGTAGCCTCGCGCTCTTAAAAATTCAATTTTCGTTCTGCCGTACCTTTAATATGACGGTTTTGAAAGCCATCTTCATGAGTAAAGGGTCTTGCATGGGAATGTAATGTCGGATGATTTTCATAGAATGGCTGTTCTAAGGAAAAAAGATTTGTAAACTTAAGCTTCACGGCAAAGGATTGTACTAACAGTTGATGGGGGCCGCACCTCTACATAATGCCCGGTTTACACTACACCATTTTTACCGTACCAAAAATACCGTGCCAAAATTTTTGGGCCCGCATAAGTCCTCTAGAGACATGCGCAATTCAATTAGAAGCAAAGATGGACAACGAAGTCTTTGTGCTGTATCTCTTAAAAAATGCGTTTCACAAAGTTCAAAGCTCAACTAAGGACACCGAAGAAGAATCGTCTAGCATAAAAAAAAGAAAGAAAACAAGGAAACCTTTGATGTTTCTTGCGGCTATCGATAGGAGCGTTTGATCACTTTTTTTCATAATTGTACATAATTCTTTTACGTCGCTTACTTTCCAAGAACGTCTGCGTGAGTTTGGTGGAGAACGAGCAGCCATCTTGAAATACACGCAAGAAAACCGCTAGCCTGTATGAATTAAGGCTCAAATTTAAAGTGTTTACAGTACTTGGTCTATCCGAAAGGTGCAGATTTTTTCAGCACCCTTCCATTTTCACCCGTGCTCGGACTACCTCGCCGAAGGTCCCAGCACGGGTAAAAATTTTGGTACGGACAGGTTGTTTACACTGCAAATTTTATCCGAGCCGAACCCTTTTTTGGGGGACCCGTGCCATTTTCACCCGAGCAGTGCCAAAAATTTTCTATAGTGTAAACCGGCCTTAAATCTGTCCGGTGGCTTGCTTTAGATTTCCAGACGTCTGCCTAAATTTTTCATGGGAAATTTTAATCGGAAGGAAGAAAAATTTTTTAAACACAACACTGTATATTTTCAAGCGGTTACCTAACCGTCAAGATGGCCTCCAAAACCGTGATTACCGTAATGATTCGATTTAGCGCCCTTCTTGCAATAAGCGCCCCCTTTCGAATAAGCGCCCCCATTCTGCTAAGATCCCCTATTCTAATATTATATTAGAGTACGAGTACGTATCAACCGAGGTTCATCTTCCTTTGATTGCCCACAAACGAACGGTAATGCCACATTACAAAAACAGTGGTTCTATGTCCATGTGAATGCATAAACTCTTCAAGCGTATGATCTCTTCGTCAAATTTTGTGTCGACTGCTCTGCTCATCATTCTGGCGAGGAAGGATCTAGGGACAACAAGTCCGTTTTCCAGTCCCCTTCATCCAGTCACCTTGACTTGCACTTTGTCCTCACTGCGGGCTTTTTTAAGAAAGGTGAATGTAAGGAAGGAAAGTTCCATCGGCACATGCCCAACAAGTTTGTTATCAAGGTAAGTCCGTCACGTTAGCTGTCAGTATTAGTTACTGTTACAGTTTCTGTTACTGTTCATTTTTAAAATAAATATTCAAGTTTCTTTTAAACATTCGGATGTTTCTCAAATAAGAAATGAGTCCTGTCCCGAATAAGTGCCCTCCCTTGAGGCACCAAAAGTAAATAAGCGCCCCGGGCGCTAAATCGAATCATTACGGTTAGACCGTTTTTTTACATGTCTCGCGATTAAAACACAGTTCCAGCCGGACCGAGGGAAAAATTGTATAAAAATGATCTGAAGAGAAACAAAAATTAGTATTACTTCGAGTTAGCATGAGGTTCGAGTCAGTAGCGAGGGTTCGAGTTATGGGAGTCAACTGTATACATGCATTTCCTTTTTAAAAGATTTTTCTCTTATTCTGGGTTTTAGAATATTCCGTATATTCCGTGCTTTGTTTTAGAATATTCTGTAAATTCCGTGTTTTAGTATAGTCCGTATATTCCGTATTTTAGAATACTCCATCTATTCCGTCATTCCGTTCCGTCATTCCGTCAGTCCGCCATTCCGTCGAATTGGGTCACCCACTCAATGCGTGATTTCCTCAAAGTTAAGTGGACTTTTTCCTAGAAGTGAATAAAAGCCCTAGGTAAATTTTTACATCATTGGAAAGAAGGACATTTTTACTTATTAGGAAAGTTAATCATTTTGACTCATACCCCATAGGAAAAAGTTTTGTTGAAAATCTGCGTCGAAATGAGGTTTTACTACAGTGAAATATTATTATTATTATTATTATTAAAACTTTGCCCGGAATTCAAAATAACCGTTATAATCCTGTTATTAGGCTTAAATCATTTGTCTATACCTCCTACGTACAGAAAAATCCCTGAGTTCTTTCTGCGCTTTTGAGAAGCAAACGTCTTGTACACTTACTTGAGTTACTTGTCGACGGATTTTATTTTGGTCATTTTATGGCGATAGCCACTCGTTACAGTTTTTGAGAATGTTCTGGAAAAGAGAATTTTTTTCAACAAAGAAATTACACCACATTTATTGACTCATTATAAGGTGTCTCTGGGCGAAATATGAGGATAGGCATTTTTTCCATCATGTGCCACCTCTCACTCGGTCACCGCAAAGTCGCTCTTAAAACCCCATTTACACGTGCTAAAAAATCGGCACGGCACGCCAAATTTTTGGCACCGTGCCTCGTTTACCCGTGCCGAGACTACCTCTGGGAGGTAGTCTAGGCACCCCTTAAATTTTGAGCACTGGTGCCACATTACATTTGGGACCGATACGTTTACACATCGAAAATTGGGAGTGCTGTGCCTTAAAATCGCCAGCACAGTGCCAAAAATTTGGCGTGCCGTGCCGATTGTTTTAGCGCGTGTAAATGGGTTTTAAGTGATAATTAAAGAACCTTGAACGCAAAAAAATTGCCTTTTTTGTTGCTTTTTGCATCAATTAAAATCATTACTAAGAAGGGAAATTGGCTTCCAAAATAAACTCCTAACCTAACCGATTATTTAGTCCAGGTAATCTTTCAAATTGTACACAATTGACTTTTTTTTAAACGCAAGTCTGTTGCACGATATAACTCATTAATTGAAATCCGTAAATTACCTTTCTTTCCTTCATAATTAGTGGTTTTCTGTGGGTAGATAATGCTTCCGTGACATTTGTCATAAAACCGGCAAGAAATTTTCCATGCAGTGGGTTTTCATCCGTATTTTATCTATTTCCTTATTTCATACATCCTTACTTTTCCCTATTATAGGAGAGTTTATATAATTTAAGCTTCACGTATACGGCAAACGACAAAGGTCAGATTCAAGTTAAATAAGAAACTTTCAAAATAGAAAATGAGCGGATAACAACAGCTCAAAACGATTGTTATGGATAAAAAATTGTGTGAAACTATTAATTTATGTGACTATAGAAATAATGAACAGTAAACGACAAGTAAAGAGGAAATTTGGTCACGTGGTACAAATTTGCGTTTGCCGCTTGACGTAATCGTGATGCTTAACCCCTATAGTGACCAATTTGCGTCCATGAGTTGGCCTAAATCATAGTTAGTAGAGGAGACAGGGGCACCCAACGACAATTTTCGGCAAATATCTGTTCAGAAGGCGATTTGAGATCTAGAATTTTCGGAACATTTGTTGTAACATTTCTTGCTTGCTTGCCTCTCCTAGGATTTACGAACATCTAAAAAAGGGTATAACTGCCCATTTTTAACAGATTTTTACCCTAAAAAGGTCACCTAGAACTTTCGGGAGCCTTTTTTCTGACTGAAATTTTCGAAAAGGTAAGTTTTGATCACTATAATTTTCGGATCACTAGACTTTCAGCTAGGAAATCCGAACAGACGAAAAATTTTTAGGGGATAAAAATATGCCTATGTCTACCATTTAAATACTAAAATACGTTTAACAATGCTATGTTTAAGTGGTTTTGAACTATTTTCTCGTTGGGTGCCCCTGAGGGGACTGGTTATAAAAGCCGGAAAGCATCAAAGCTGAAAACTACGGTGCTGTAGTTTTTGTTGGAAGCTCCCTGGCCGTACACAATCCTTTGTTTTTTGTTCACAAATTTTGGCTGCATGAGCTGATAGTTGTGATTAAAACAATGAGCAATTAAACATTTCCGACATCTAGTTCACCTGCTTACTTGCTAGGAGAGTTTGGTAGAACCGCTCTATCCGGCAAGTGAAGTGTTCTTGTAAATAATTGAATGCATTCTGCCATTTAACGCCCTGCAGAGATTAGTCCAATTACATTAGTATAATTTATGCCGTTAACAGCTTGACAACTAGCCTAAAAAAACAGCCGATATTTGGCGAAGCTACTTTTGGTTTCCCCTCCAAATGACGTCTGAGAAACCAGCGCAGAAATTCCACACTGATGGAGCGTCACTACCCAGATCTGGGTAGCGCTTTTGATTGG